GATTATTCTGTATCTGTCCCTCTTCTTTAGACTGATTTCACTCAGCATGATGTTCTCTGAATATCCACATTGCTGTAAATTGCATGAATTAGTCTTTTCTTAGAGTGAGGGAAAATACATTTGTCTTTGCTATTTCTCTGACTGAAATCTACTATCCATAACTGACATAAAAAAAACATTAAAATGCTTTAACGCCAGGCTCTAAAAAATTATTTTATGGTGATTACATTGATTGTTAATCATTAGCATTTATCTGTTGAAAAGGACACAGGCACATTTTTTAAAAGCCATTGTCATGTTTATCATGTCAAATTAGAATTTGTAATATTACTACAAATAGATTTTTACTGTTCTCCCAGTGGTACTATATATAGTTTTCGTTAATGCTCAAATATGTACAACTTTATAGCTACTAAAATTAATTCAATAAATAAAAAGCTTCCTTTCTCACTTTTCATTTGCTGTAATATTAGTATAATGAAACCATTAGCAGTAGAATTCCAAGAGAGTTTGTAACTGAGGTCCCCAATGAAAACATTGCTTCTTCTTCCCAGTTTCATGATCTATGAACCGAGTGACATTCAGCATATGTCTCAATATTTCTACATGCCTACAAAATTATTGCTATAATAGTATGTGTTTATAATGTTAATGCTGATGATTAAATTAGAAATTCATGTAGATAGCTGCACGGTATCTGATACTGAATTACAAAGCATTCAGACTTCATAGTTTCTGCTATTTACCGACGTCATAATAATTAGATCAATTAAGCTGAAGTCTTTTATCTCTCTTCATCTCCTTCCTCTCTCTCTAAATTCTATTTGTTGTAACCCAAAGAGGGTTATTTGGTAGAATTTTTGTCTTCCTTTTCATTCATTGCTCACTTCCATTTATTAATGTCTTAATGTCATCTCTCAGACAATCCCTTCTGTCTTCCAGGTAGGTTTTGTGTGTGTGTGTGTGTGTGTGTGTGTGTGTGTGTGTGTGTGTGTGTGTTAGCAATGTTGTTTATCACATTGTGTTTGCAATCCTGGCTTGCAGTTTTCTAAAGCAGTTCTTGGGATACTCCAACATGTTAAGTAACTTGACAGTGGAAAATTACTATTTCTGTATTTTTAAATCTGACATATGAGTCATTTAAGTTTGGGGGACTAGTTTCAAGTTGAAGAGTCTACAGGTATAAAAAAAGAGAAAAGATAAAACTGTCTGCATATCTGGGCAGACCAGAACCAGGGCAAATCTCAAAGTCATATATCCAGGAGCTATCAAGACTCAGATGCAGAAAACAGCATTTTTAGTCCAAAGACTTCCAGAACAAAAAAAGAATATAAGTGAATATGGCAGTACACCAAAATCGCCATCAAAACCTAATAAAACTAAAGCATGTTGCAAACCCAAACTGCTTGATTTGAACAAAACAAACAAAAACACACACAAACAAAAAGCCCCAAACTTGCATTTGATGAGTGGCAGGAAACAATCTCAGCTCACTCAACTTAATACCAATAAGATGCTAAGATATTTGAAAAAATGTTTTTTTCAAAAAAAATATAATTTACAAAATTAGATGGGACAGTGAGAAATAGTTTGATGGACTAAAAACAAAAACAGTATGATCATCATCCCCGATGTCCCCAACTAGTTTAATCTCAAGGTTTCATTAACTGGATATCTTGTCACAAAACAAGCTTATTTTCTACTGAATTGATTCATGATAGTTTAAAAAAATCAATGATACTCAATTTTAATACAAGAATTCTATTGCCTCATTTTATATTATTAAAATTTATTTTAATAAGAACTTTACACTTATTAATCTTACCTACTAAGTAATTTATGTTGATTCTATTATCAACTTGTTACGCAGCACCTTTTTAATTATTTTATAAAAGTAAATGCTGAAGATATTTTATGAATTTTTACATAAAATATGTTAACACTCCAGCAGTGGTATTTTGTTTTTAGTTCTAACAATTCTTAATGAACAACTGAAAATATATGGAAGCATTTCAATATTTCTCAAATTAAACAAGTTAAACTGTTTCAAGATTTGGATAATGCATTCGCTAATATTAAGGGCATATAAGATAATGTCTTTCCGTATGCTATTTGAAAATACTCTGATTATTCTCAGTTTATTTTCAAATTCATCTGATCTCTTGATATCTGGTTATAGAGGAAACTTGCCAGAGAGATGTTAGATTAAAATAGGAAGGTAATCTATTTTTTCCTACATCAACCTTTTTCCTCCTTTTAGAAGCATTTTAGAAGCCTTTTAGAAGCCTTTTCAGTATACTTTATACAATGTCATCTAAGCAAATGCAATGTGTCCTAAACATTTACTTATTTCTGCACACAAAAGTCAATCAACTGCCTGATTTCCCTATTTTTCAACTGAAAATATCTTCTAATGAATTGGTGTGGAAGTAAACAAGAAAGTATTCCATGGAATGTTTTTTGGTGTCACCTTGAAGAAATTGTTGCATACCATCTGCTGGTTTATTGAGCGTACAAAATGGCAGTGTCGATGAATTCTTCTTTAATAAATGATACATATTGACATAATCACCAGCCATATCCTAATGACCAGAAACATGCCAAAGTGCTTTGAAAAACATCCAGCTTAAATTATCCATAGTTATTTTATATTTGTGAAGCAACTAAAACTCAAAATATCTGTTTTGGTTCATACTTGTGCTTCATTTATAGATGCTGGCAAACTTTTCAATACAATTCATAAATGAGATGGTTAATCTTTCCTGTCTTCTTTGTCCTTGTGGTTGTCATCTGAGCATTCTTATCCTGCAAGCAAAGTACAAGCTGGAAAAAGTCAATTTAGGTGAATGTCAAAAATAATTTAGAAACCATATCTTGCTTTAGTCTTTTGATTTATAAACATGAATGGGGGCAGGGGTTACAATGAAAGCCAAGAAATAATAATTATTTCAACCATTATTAAAGTCATTCTTCAGTCATGTCCCAATTTCTTAGTAAAACACTGGCTCTAATAGTAGATATTTAATGTTATTTCATAAGAAAAAAATGTTAGCAGTCCAAATGTGGATGATGAGTTCAGAGAGAAATTGTTTAAATATAATAAATAAAATGATACTAAGATAAGGAGATTTATATGAATCAAATTTAAAAAAATATCACAGAACACTTCAGAATCACAATTCTACAATTTGGTTGATGGATAAATATGCTCAAAGACACAAACAGAAACATTCTCTCCATCATTGAATCCCCAACATTTTGGTATTGATTTGTAATGGGCAATACTGGTTCAGTTCAGGAGCTGGAAATTGTTTTAATTGTTATAAGTGAGAGAGAAACCAATTCGAGCAATTGTATATAAGATCTTTGGAAGAACAGGAACCATGGATCAAGTCATGAATCCAGATCTTATCTTCGCCAGAATCAGGACAGCAGGGAACCAGAAATCACTAAGGAGCTAGTGTTATTTTTCTTTCTTGTATTACTAATTTTCACCGAGTCATTCTAGTTTATGACCCAATTGCACTTTCACCCCCACACAGATTTCTTCAATGAGATGAAACAGAGAGGGGTGGGGGATGGTAGAGGAGAATCAGGACCCCAGCTGTGAGGAAGCATTAAGCTGGCCACTCTCTGGGCACCTGCTCTCCACCCACACAAGCCCACAGCTCCTATAGAATTGATGCAGAACTGCTTAAAAAGAATCATATCTCATCTACACAAGGAATTAAAGTAAGTCTCTAACCTGTCACACAGAGAGCCAGGGCAGCCTGGGGTAGTTCATGGAGAGAGCAAAGGAGACAGGGAGACAGGGGCACTCCTGGCCAGGGCACCCTTCTCTTGGTAGCCAGCTGAGCAGCCTGAATGGGCTCAGGCCCCAATCTGCTCTGCCCTTCAGCCAGCCTCCCCTGCAATGCCGGCACCAAGTTCTTTCCACCCTTCCTGTCTGAGTAGGGAAGACAGTAGGAAGACGCTGCTGTTCCCTTGAGCTTTCTTTCACCTATGGTCAAAGTCTCTATTCCCTTGGACTCTATGGGCGACAGTCCATAGTAGAGTAGCCACAGGCTGTGCATCTGTGTGTGGGTCTAGTTAGTTCCTCTCTGCAGGAAGTGAGGCCACTGAAGCCACAAACAGCTCTGGGCAGGGGGATGTTTTCTGCAGCTACAGGGAGGTTGACTGCTTGCCTGAGGCTCTGGAAGACACTAGGATTCCTGGAGGAGACTTTGAACAGGCAAAGGTAGGGAGAGCCTCCTGGTCCTAATTTCATTATCTCAGGATGTCTGGACCTCTAATTAGCCACAAATCGCCTCTAAGTGAGGGTAGGTCCCTGAACCTCCCAAGGGCTAAAAAATTAGTTGTGGAACATCATCTTGGAAGGAAATGGGAGGCTGAGGGCTGAGACAACCCCGTGGCTAGGGGCATCTGGGATTTACCTGCCCCGCTGCCCAAATAAAGGGGAAATTGGATAGATGGGAGGATGAACTAAGAAGTAGCTCAGCTGGATGCTTCACCCTATTCTAAATACTTTTGAATGCAAAAATAAATAAATAAAAAACCTGGGGGTGAAAGGAGAGGCAGCCTAGACAGGAGGTAGGGGTAGGATGGAAGAATGATAGATGATTAATTCTGAAGCCACAAACATTGGAAAGAAAGCAAAAGCGTTAGTAAACTCTCCAGCTTCCAGGCAAGGAAGCATTCTCTGAGAGGGATAAGCGGATTCCTCTAGTTAGGTGGGTCCTCCATCCCTTATCCACAAGCCCCCACAAGCAGATTTGGGGGGAAACTGTGGGTCTGGGGCCAAGAGAAGTGTGGGGGAAGGCAGGTCTCACAGATGCCTGGTTAAACAATAGAAAACTGAGAGTCCAGGTGTAGCCCTAGCCCTGTGATGAGCTGGTGGCTGAGAGCAGCAGACAGTGGTTCTGTTAGCAACAATGGCTGGACCAAGGACTGTGGTATGGACAGTAGAGAGGTAGAAAGCTGAGTTGTGGACATGCGTCTAGTTATTTCAGACTGAAGAGCAGTGAACCCAGTAGGGCCATGCTAGACAAGGTCGTGCCAGTCAGGACCCAGCGCTGGAAGAGTTCCTGGCTTCTTCTGCCCTCGGCCACCCCCTTGTTCCCATAGAGTTCTGCAAAGGTGTCCCAGCCACCATTGTCCCGGATCCAAGGGTCTAGGTGGCTATTCAGGTAAGTGATCATCCAACCGGCAATCTGACTCACCAAGCCCCACTTCTCCTTGTCTGCGCTCTGCACGCACAGGGTCCCACCAAAGGCAAAGAAGGCCATGATAGGACCCCAGTTCACCTCCTCCCGAAAGAGTTCATTCACGACCTGCTCGAAGGTCTCGTAGGCCGTCGCAGGGGTGATGTAGAATTGAGCTGTCAGGTTGCTGAATGCCTGCTGGTACCTTAGGTCAAATTCATTACACGCCTCCCTCAGTGCTTGCTTCAGCGGGTACACTGGGGTCACCTTGGGGGCATCCACGCCGCAGCCGTGGCCCATGGCTACATGCGATGCAGGACGTTCCAGCAGGTGACGAGCTGGGTTGTCCGCAGTGGCACTGGGGGTTTCCATCTCAGATTCAGGCCCTTCTGGGGCCTCTGTCGTTGTTCCTTCTTCATCACTAAACGCACTCCAGCGGTGTCCTTTCTGTGAAAGTTTATAGGAGATAATGTCAACCACCAGCTCACGGTTGTTCCAAGACATTTTTAGAGTGGGGAATGAGGTCGACCAGTACCCTGTCCTGAAACGTCCTCGACTAACTTCTTAATTCTGCTCTCTGCATAGTGCTGTCTTCATGCCATCCAAAGCTGGGCTAAGGTTCTGAATTGGCTTTTGATGGGTCTTATAAAGGGTGGATCAGCTTCCAGGAGGCTTTAATTAAGTCCGATTGAAAGCACCCAGTGGGCTATGAATCATTAATAGCAACTGCCTTTAAAAAAAAATCCCCAACCTTCTCTGTTTCTCCTGAAGCCCACCCTCAGAAAGTCATCCCATAGGAAGTCTCACACCACAATTTTTTTTAAAAAATACTAAATTTTATTTTGCATTAGTCATAGTCTAGATAAGATTTTTTTAAAATGTTTTATTAGTGAAACTCCATATGGTACTGTTGTTGACCTTACAAATTTTTGTGCTTGGGTTTCAGTTATACAATTATTGAGCACCCATCCCTCCACCGGTGCCCATTCCCCATCTCAAATGCTCCCAGCATCCCTCCCACCCCCCCGACCCCCCTATCCCACCCCACCCCTGTGGCAGGGCATTCCCCCCTGATCTCTCTCTCCTTTTGGGTGCTGCGGCCTGCAAAAGAGGCATTGAGTGGCTATCATGTTCAGTCTGTAGTCTACTTTCAGCATGCATCTCTCATCCTGGGAGGGTCCTCCCAACACCCTTTACTTGGTGCTCCCCTCTCTATCTGAGCTGCCTTCTCCCTCAGCATGTGCAGCTAGCCTCCAAGCCATGGAGTGAACTTCCTGGTACTTGTCTCGGCTTTCTTGGGTGTTAGTCTCCCAATTTGTTACTCTATGTTCCCCAGATGAATGCAGTCTTTCTATGTCTATCCCTCTCTTTCTGACTCATTTCACTTAGCATGATACTTTCCATGTAGTACCACTTGTATGTAAATTTCATGACTTCATCTTTTCTAACAGCTGCTTAGTACTCCATTGTGTAGATGTACCAAAGTTTCTTTAACCAGTCATTTGTTCTCAGGTACTCGGGGTTTTCTTTTCCAGATTTTGGCTACTGTGAATAGTGCAGCAATGAACATAGAAGTGCAGATGTCATTTTGACTGTACTTTTTTTCCTCGCCGGGATATATTCCCAGTAGTCACACCCCATTCTTAATCTCAAACTCCCTCCAATTGGGAAGGCTAAAATTATATGCTAACCACTATACCACCAATGCTCCCAGCTACCTAGGGGATTTTGTTGTTTTGGTTTCTTTTGGTTTGGAACTTTGGGGACCATACCCTACAGTGCTCAGTTTTTTTTTACTGGTTCTATGTTCAAGGATCACTCCTGGAAGGGATCAGGGGTCTGGAGTGGTGATAGCAGGATTAAACCCTCGAGGACTGTGTGTAAGGCAAGTGCTCTAACTACACTACTCTCTCTCTCTCTGGTCCTCGGAGTTAGTGTTTAGTACACCATGGATGGCTCATATGCTTGAAATGATGTTAAATGTTTATATGCAGCTACCTGTGCAAAGCCTCCAATGCCCATGAAACTGACTCAGGAACGGTAGGACCAGCTGCCTCAGCCAGGCAGCTTCTCTGACATCTTTGCTCCACTTCTCAAGTGTTCCTGTGAGCAGAACAGTCTGGGCTGCTTTAAGAAGAAAATGGAATCATGTAACTCACTGCAATTTTTTTGAATTTTCTTTATTGGTTGAGGTACTGTGATTTATAATACTGTTGACGGTTTCATACCTTCATCATTCTCATAGCACAACCATCCCCAGAGTGCTTGCCTCTCATGCCCCCAGAAAATAAAGGACCCTCCTCTTCAGTTTCCTCTCTCTTACAAGCTCAGCTCCATGGATGGACTCTCTAATACTATCACTTTTGGTCCTCTGTTGTTAAGTTAATGTGTATCTTTAAGGTTCCACATATGAGAGAGCATGGCTGTGGCTGGAACCGGAGGTCTTCAGCGGCCAGGGTTTTGCTCAGGGTGGGGAGGGAAACAACCCACCCTCCTCCAAGGGGCCCCGGTGAGGACAGCCAGGTGTGGAGGCAGGAGACTCTGCGCTGTTCTCTTCCGGGAGTAGGGTTTTATAGTCCCTGGGTCTTGGCCATTGATGGGATTACATGGCGCAGGGGGCAGTTGGTGGGTGTAACGCCTACATACTAGAAGATGGGGTAGCTGGGTGGAGGAGGCCCCAGTCCTAATCCAAGCAGGCTTGGAGATCTATGCCCTGGGTCCCGCACACCTGGGTTCCTCTGCCGGTTCCTTCATGTGTGAGGCTCATCCAGGCAGCTGAAGACCTCTGGTTCCAGCCACAGCCATGCTTAAGACCATTCTCCACACGTTCGGATGAGCTGAGTCTTGGCCGCTGGAGCCGCTGGAGCGATAGCACAGCAGTAGGGCGTTTGCCTTGCACACAGCCAACATGGCCGACCCGAGTTGGATTCCTCCGCCCCTCTCGGAGAGCCCAGCAAGCTACCGAGAGTATCTCGCCCGCACAGCAGAGCCTGGCAAGCTCCCCGTGACGTATTTGATATGCCAAACACAGTACATATACCACAATTACTTGATCCATGCATCCAGTTAGGAGTTTGGGTTGTTTTCTACATCTTGGCTGTTGTCCTGAGCTCTGTGATGAACAGGGTGGTTCACATATACTTTAAAATTAATGTGTTTTTTTTTATCAAGTTAAAGTTTTATATGGGAGTGGGGCAAGATGCCAATATGTGGGATCGCTTGGTTATATGGGAGTTCTATTTTTATTTTCTTTTTGAGAGATCTTCATATTCCTTTCCACAGAGACTGAACCACACAGCATTCTCACCAACAGTAAGTGTTCTTTCTCATTGCAACACTACTGACACTGACTGTTTCTAGAACTTTTGGTATATGTCATTCCCATATATGCCATGAGGTGATTTCTCATTGTTGTTTTGATTTGAATTTTTCTAACATCATAAGTAACAATGAGCACATTTTCATATGCCTTTTAGCCTCTGTATTCAATTGCAACTTTGAATATTAGATTTTTGTCTATCTCAACCTGTGGAAAAAATGGAAACAAATTTTAAGGCAGGTCTGTTCATCTAGTTGTTAGAAGTAAATAGGGAAATATAAAAAAGCTGGAGTCATCAGACAAATATGCCGAAAATTACTTAGTCTTCAAGAGGTGAGACTAAATTAGCACAATAATCATAAATGTGATTTCCAAATTATAAAAGTAATTGTGCTACACATTGTGGTTTAATTATTTTCTTTAAATTTGAAAAAAAATTCCTAAATTTCAACATTTTAGAAATTAGTCACCATCTATAATTCAAATAATGGAATAAAAAGAGCAAATGAGAAGATTTTTATCTTTTAACTATTCTTTATAAATGAGTAATCTTTTAAATATCTGCAAGGAGTGGGAGGACAGTAATTCAGCTTCTCTTTGTACCCCAAACCCATTGAAATTTTGTCTTTAAAAATAAAGAAGACCTCAAAATAACTCTAAGGACTGTACTGCTTTACTGAAAGTGATTGACAAGATTGGTTACCAAACAATTTTATTTCCTTAATTTTGGTTTAGTTTTAGCTATCCACCTGAGATTCTATAGAGAAAATATGATTTTTAAATATTTACTATATTCATTAGTTCGTTATTTTCAGATTTTTATATTGTTGTGCATTTAAAGATGAATCACTTCATGACTTGTCTGCTTGTTCAAAATTTTTAATTGATAATTATGTAAATAAACAAAAAGTTCTAAAAATGATAACTTTAGATTGTCTAACTTTAGATTGTCTGTGTTATAATTTATGAGAGTCTAGTTAGAAGGCTGTAGAATGTTTTTCCATCTAGCTAATTATTTTTTAAATACAACCTTAATATTGAATAAAGTCTTTTTTAAAAAAAATAAAAGTGAAATCATATACACTTGGAACAAAAGACTCTAATTACATAAAAATAAATAACTTCCTTTATAATACTGATAGTGTTGAACCATAATCAAATATTTTCCTTCCGGAATCTTGAAAACCTACACACACACACACACACACACACACACACACACACACACGCCACTCACATATGCATATAAAACAGTCCGGTTTGGATAATGGGATTTTTAAAAGCATGTCAGTTTGGTTGTGAATTATAACACCAACAGGATATAATTAGACAATCATTTATTTCCTTCATGGCTATACTGAAAATTTTAAATATTCTTCCTCAAATGACCTTCAGACTTCAGCTGTGGGTCATAGCACACCATGTTCTGCATCACGTTATTGATACCCTGATACTTGAATTGAAGTCCTATTTAATCCGTGAAGGTATCTTAATGAAATCAGGAAACACTGACCATAAATACAAATCTGCATACCCAGGGATAATTTAGAGCTTCCTACGTCAAATGTTGATGGAAAGCATTTGAACATAGAGGTGAATTAGCAGAGATGAAATTTCAAGGGGACTGAATGGGGATTAGCTGCTACTGTTTTGGAATCCCTGGCCTATGAAAACGCTTCATTGCTAAAGTTCTCTGGCTCAGATGTTCTGGCTCAACTGATTTCATCGTTATCGATGCTACTGATCCCCAACAACCCATGCTATCCCTGGTAATACGTTCAGATCATTTCCCTAACTGCTCACTCTTTATCACCCAACTATATTCAAATCATTTTGGGAATGATTCGTGTGTTCTCTCAAATCCAATAGTCTCCTCTGTGATTTCTGCCTTCACAAATGTATGTTAGCCCAGACATTCTTAGTAGCTGATTAGTGATCTCTGTTACTACTATTTCTTACAGCAAAGGAAGGCCTAGATGAGTAGAAAAATAATCCTGTGGTGACTGCACAGTAGTCAACATTGTGTCATACCCGTGTGGTTCATTCATTTTGTTTACTATTTGACTCATTTTTTAAAAATCTTACTCTTCCTCACAAACCCACTCAAATTTTGAACTACCCAAATTTTACTTAAATTTGTGTTAGGGCCTTTGTGTTATATATTTTTATATATTTTATTATTATT